TTTGCTACAAAACTTTATTGAAATATCAGTGGGATGAAACACTTTCATTTGTTTCTTTACTGAAGCAATATATAAATAATAAAAACATCCAAAAATATTATTTAACGCCAAGAAAAAAAAAAAAAAAAGTTTAAAATATACACGATCATACTCAAAACCACTGGTCTAACAGTGCACCCCAAAAGTAAAATCATATTAAGAACAAAACAAATTATTAAGATTTATGAGCTACTGCTAACATTTCACATATCATAAAAAATTATCACTACAACGGTCAAACACTTCACTAAAATATAAAAGAATGAGCCTCCAAATATTAACAGTGCAAAAAAGCATGAGTGTCTTTCTTTCACAGCACCAGAAGTTGAGCCCACTGTTTAATCTCCAGACAAGTGGGTATTTGGCAGCTTAGTTACATTTATGACCTCTAACTCAGCCCACTTGGCATAAAAATAATAATCTGGTCTTAAATCTTTAGTTACTTACTGCTGAATAAAAAAAATCCTGATTTGATGCAAATGCAGTGTAAATACTTGCAAAAATTACAATATACTGAGTATATATATATATATATATGCATGTTACAAATCAAGGAATTATAACTTACACAAGTTTTTTAATTCATTTATTAATAGACTAGGCCTTTATTTTCATGTTATTTTACATTAGAAAAGGACATTACTCTTTATTGAACACTACCACAGCACATCATTATGCATGTTTTTCCACATGCTAGGTACAAGAACCACTGATAACGCAGTCTTGAAGATAAAGTTGTACTTGACAAAAAAACTTATCACAAAGATTCAAACATTTGCTCCTCCACATAATGACTGCAGAAGAAGACATACTTGCATACAATTACAAGATGAAAATCACTTTTTTTCGTTACATTCTAAACAATACAGATATTCACACATAAAAAGACAAACATATGATACATATATTTGAACCTTTATTCTCATCTAACAAGCTTGGAAACCTAAACAAATCGTTCTAGCTTTGCCTGACAAGTCTTTAAGTGTGCCGAGATAACTCCTGCAGATGCGTCAGCTGAGGCTCCCAGGTCAGTTAAGTACTCGGCTACGTAGTCCAAACACTGCTCCCTTAGCGCTCGCCTAAAGAAATAACAAAAAACAAATTATGGGAAATGGTAATCACAGAGAAAATCAGAGGAAAGACAAGGAACAATTTTCTTATCATTCTTATCACATGTTTATTTATTATATTTACACATAGATGGCTCTACAAGTTCTTAATCACCAAATAGCCAGTTATCAGAACTACCTATTTCACCTATTTACCCTTCTCCTTCACTTTAGGAAAGGGTCATTGTCTAAGATATTTTAATGACAATTTAATAATCATAACATTAATAACAATAATAACAGTATTGATTGCATTGGTATTAATAAGAAAAACACGTTTTCCTGCCAATTCAAGGAATAGGAAAATCAGGATTAGTAACTAGGGCCTACTGATGGATTCCTTGCTGGCTGAGCACATGTGGAGCCATCTGTATATAACAAAATTCACCAAAAACTACAGGGTACAGAAAATAAATCCGGGGCAAGTGGGTTTAATTAAACCCATACTACCATGCTGAAGTGGAATAACCTGTAAATTGTTTCATAATACCAAGGAGAAAACAATAGAAACTAAACCTTCTAAAAACATCAAACACATTTTTATATTAACATAAATAAATAACTATTGTGGTACTCACTTCTGTGGAGGCTGTACTGTGGCCTCATTGTCAACCAGCATTGTGATCAAGTGTGCCAACACACCAAGGAGATGGTATGGCGACCGCTCCACCTCCCAAACACTATCTCCACTACGATATAATCTGAAACCACAGAAAAAAGTTCAGAATATCGAAATAACAAACTTAAGGACCAATTTACAGATTAATAACTAATTGAGATCCTGTCATGTTTATCCAACTGAAGATATGTTACTCACTTATGATAGATGTTGATAAGTCTGCTCACTTGGATGCCACAACCTTGCAAGGCCGTGACTACCCAAGAGGTATTAGTGCGCAGCCGGACTGAACGAATCTCGCATTCCTTGATAATGTGTTCTGGTGTAAAAAAAAATGGATATAGAGTAAATAAACACTGAATATCTGATATAAAGAATAAAAATCAATAATAATATCAACACTATGAGTAGTAATTAAATTAAATAACCCATTAAAAAAAATAAGCATCATCACTACGTTGAACAGTGGTTTACCTAGGGGGAAGTAGTTAGGGTTTGCAGAATACAAACGAGCAAGGGCTTTGATTTTGCTGGACAAAGAATCCACACGTGTCTCCACAGGCTCCACTCTTGACCTCTCCAGTTCACGGTCAATGAGATTAGTCCAAATTGACTGAAAGAGAAAAGATATCAGTTTAAGTTTTGATTTAACCAGGAAACTAAAACAAATGAAGAAGAAGAGTACTATATATAAAAAATATAAAAGCCCAATTGTGTAACTAGTTAGCAGACAGTTGTGACACAGGACTCACAAACAAAATCATTACGCACACACACACACACAAAAAAAAAAATCAGTACTCAGACAAACAAACAGACACACACAAAAAGGAAAAGAAATAGACATATAATCATTCCATTATTCGATAAAATCAGAAGTGAGTACACTAAAACACTGATCAAAAGCAGACAAAAATTATTCCACATTCATGATAGGTTTCTTTGCGTTAGGAACTTTCAAACAAAACAAACTAAGAGTAATAGCAGGTTTCAAATTACCTGTACAAGCTGAGGTTCTGAGTGTCCTGCACAGTGAACAATGGCAAGTTTGCATTCCCACAGAGCCCAGGGTTCAGCAAACTTCTCGTACAACGTTGTCAAAGTAAGGAGCGAGGAATTGACCTGAGCAATAACATCAGCACTTGCCCCTTCTCCCTGGAGAGCATCTAGCACCTGCAAAAAAAAAGAAAAAAAGAAAAAAAGAAAAAAAAAAAAAAAAAAAAAAAAAAAAGGTGAAAGTGAAAGAAGGTTCCATTAAGAAATAATCAAAGAAAAATTTCTACCTGTTTAATCAGAGAGAAAGATGCATTAAGAGAAAGTTTAATAATACTCAATAATTTATTAGGTTGGAGAAAAAAAAGAGGAAAAAGAAAAAGGGAAGAAAAGGAAGTTAACAAACCTACCATAAGCTGTACACGAGCAACTTCTTTCTTCTCTTCCATGTGAAGCATGAAGTCTGAATAACTTGAGGCTGTGTTCATCTCACAGGAACTGAGGCACATCAGTGCCCGAGACAAGTATTCCACTCGTACATTTACTGGAGTATCTCTGTTGGTGACAAGAGGGAAACAAAATGAGAAAACGATAATAATATATAAAACTTAAAAATAGTACCAAAATTTTATGGTGTCCCTTCAACTACATCCTGAATTTCCATTCATAAATATACGATGGCATTACAAAATGTTCTGCTTCCCAGCACTATTCAACTCACCCTATCTGTTCAGCCAGGAGCAGGAGAGTTTTTGCAGCCTTGAAGTAATCTCTATTTCTCTCATAATATCTCCAAAGCAGGTGGTGGAGAGGAGACTGGCCATTGGACCGAGTGAGGAAGGTCTCCAAGTATGGGGAGGTTATGGCCAAGAGACGGTCAGTACGATTTGTGTCCACTAGCCACTGATACAATGTCACATGTGATAGTTCATCATTGCTGCCAACTATTAGGTTCATCATCTGGAAAAGAGAGGTGCATAGTTTTGTACTTCCAATACTCTTGCAAAAATCTTCTAGTCTTATTACTTACCCAAATGGACTAAATCAACAAAAAAGTTCAGTCAATCTATATATGCAATGAAAAATTAGTTAATGGACTCAGTTAGTTTGACCCTACCTGATTAGCATACTGTGTAGCATCTGTAGACGGTAGTGTAGATGGTGGGGGTGTGGGTGGGCCGGGACGAGAGGGCACTGTTGGGGACGTCTGGGGAACAACACCTGCACCAACTAGCTGATTTAACTGATCCATTATCACTCGGTAGCACTCCATCCTACATTGGTGAAAGAAGAGGTCATCCAGTAAGTGGTGGAATGGTATGTGCACTAAATAATCTTTTATCATCTTCTTTTTTCAGTTAGAGAGGAGGAGGAGGTTAGAAAGAAAGAAAGAAAGAAAAAGAAGAAGAAAAAAAGAGGAAAAGAAAATTAAAAAGAAAAAGTCAACCTGACAAGTTACAACAAACCTAGATGTGAAGGCCATGTAGCCTTGGTGGTCATCTGCAGGCTCGTTATTCTTGTAATAATGAAGAGCTAAGCCAGCAGGGTCTCTCTGGGCTGCAACACTCAGGCAAAGGTCGACTACTCCTTCATAGGCCCCTCCACTGGCCAGCTGGCTGCTGATGCCATTCACATTGACATGATGGCCAATTTGCTTGCACAACTGCAAATGAAAATAAAAAACACTTCTATATAATATACTTCTAATCCTTAAATTTTAGAGACCATCACGCAATGTTGAATATTGTAAAATCTCACAGTTTATGAAATTAAAATCATTAGGCCTCTTATACATTTATAATGTCAACTCACCGCCACTGCTTCCTTAAAACCTTTCTCCTTCTCTGCTTTGTTTGTATTTGCCTTCGCTGCCAAGATTATTTCATTTGCCTTTGGAGGAGGTTAGAAAGAAAGAAAAAGAAGAAGAAAAAAAGAGGAAAAGAAAAGAAAATTAAAAAGAAAAAGTCAACCTGACAAGTTACAACAAACCTAGATGTGAAGGCCATGTAGCCCTGGTGGTCATCTGCAGGCTCGTTATTCTTGTAATAATGAAGAGCTAAGCCAGCAGGGTCTCTCTGGGCTGCAACACTCAGGCAAAGGTCGACTACTCCTTCATAGGCCCCTCCACTGGCCAGCTGGCTGCTGATGCCATTCACATTGACATGATGACCAATTTGCTTGCACAACTGCAAATGAAAATAAAAAAAACACTTCTATATAATATACTTCTAATCCTTAAATTTTAGAGACCATCACGCAATGTTGGATATTGTAAAATCTCACACAGTTTATGAAATTAAAATCATTAGGCCTCTTATACATTTATAATGTCAACTCACCGCCACTGCTTCCTTAAAACCTTTCTCCTTCTCTGCTTTGTTTGTATTTGCCTTCGCTGCCAAGATTATTTCATTTGCCTTTGCGAGTTTGGCATCTTCTATTCTGTAGAGTCCTGGACAGATGTCCCGCAACCTTTCTGATATAGCATCAGCTGAGGCATTATCTCCATGATATCTGTGTAAAGGTATAAAACTTACAAATAATGGAGAGTGAGGGAGAGAGAAAAAGAGAGAAAGAAAGAAAGAAAGCTACATTAAAAAAAAGAGGAAAAGAAAAGAAAATTAAAAAGAAAAAGTCAACCTGACAAGTTACAACAAACCTAGATGTGAAGGCCATGTAGCCTTGGTGGTCATCTGCAGGCTCGTTATTCTTGTAATAATGAAGAGCTAAGCCAGCAGGGTCTCTCTGGGCTGCAACACTCAGGCAAAGGTCGACTACTCCTTCATAGGCCCCTCCACTGGCCAGCTGGCTGCTGATGCCATTCACATTGACATGATGGCCAATTTGCTTGCACAACTGCAAATGAAAATAAAAAACACTTCTATATAATATACTTCTAATCCTTAAATTTTAGAGACCATCACGCAATGTTGAATATTGTAAAATCTCACAGTTTATGAAATTAAAATCATTAGGCCTCTTATACATTTATAATGTCAACTCACCGCCACTGCTTCCTTAAAACCTTTCTCCTTCTCTGCTTTGTTTGTATTTGCCTTCGCTGCCAAGATTATTTCATTTGCCTTTGCGAGTTTGGCATCTTCTATTCTGTAGAGTCCTGGACAGATGTCCCGCAACCTTTCTGATATAGCATCAGCTGAGGCATTATCTCCATGATATCTGTGTGTAAATGTATAAAACTTACAAATAGTGGAGAGAGAGGGAGAGAGAAAAGAAAGAAAGAAAAAAAGCTACATTAAAGACAGGCCATTAACAGCTGCCATCATCACATTACCTATTTGCACCCAGCTTGTTCACTATTTTGGGTAACTAATCATTGCTGGTGTGCTCAAATCTATAGGATTGGAAATACTGAAGGTTTACTTTCAATTTAAGTGCTTGTATCTAATCATCACACCAAACAAATGATATCGCTACTGTTGGAGAATGACAACCTCCCTCCAACACGCCAGTGCTACCCAATATTGGGTTCTTTACAACTGTGATATGATAAAATGAAATAAAACAATATACATAAATAAGAAAAAGAAAATATAAAATACAAATTTCCGAGCAAATGATGTATTACCTGTCTAGCAAAGCCATGATAAGACTGCGGCAAACCTCTCTGCCAGTTAAAACTAAATCTCGGAAGGTCATTGTCCGCAACTGTTCCCGGATTTCCTGCAGAGAAAGGGAATAGGTAAATGGCACGAGATACTTTTTTCCCCATCAAAATTTATGACAAGAACTAGAATTTATGTCATTTTGAAATCCAAACAAATAATCAATAAACACAGAAGTGACAGTGTACTATTTCAGTATATCTAACAACAAACAAACAAACAACTTACTTTCTGCAGGCTTCCTGTAATTGTGGTGAAATTGTGGGTGGAGAGAACCGTCATGAGCTTGAGCACCTCCAGCGCTTGACTGAGAAGTGACCTCAAGGCCAGCAGGGAAGCACGTTCCGACCCATCCCCTCCATACCGTGTGATGTTCAGAGTTGTGTTCGACCTTTAGGGGAGCCAGATATTTCAAGGTTATAATCTGTCTTCTCAAAAAATACTCTCTTCTTTTATAATTTATTTGTATCTCCAAAGTGCATTACCATAGGTGTAGCTTACGCATTTAGGGGCTGAAGGGGAGTGGTTCCTCCTTGGTTGGTTAAGAGGAATTTGGCCAGAAGGTCCACTCTCTCGGCGAGGAAACCTAATTCTTCAGCGGACATTGAGCTCATCAGCTGACAAAAATGAAATAATTAGGATCTCATTACCATTTATACAATACTGAAAATTCTCACTTTTAACCCATTCGCCACGGATTTATGTTCTGTCCCCTGTTGGTTTTGGTGAATTTTGCTACCTACAGATGGCTCCACATGTACTCAGCCGGCAAGGAGTCTATCAGTAGGCCCTAGTTACCGACCCTGATTTTCCCATTCATTGAATTGGCGGGAAAATTAATATCATTGCTTTCGATGCTGTTATTATTGTTACTGATGTTATAATGATTGAATTGTCATTAGAATATTTTTGACAATAAGATGATACAAAAAACCCTTTCCGAAAGTGAAGGAAAAGGCTAAACAGGTGAAATAGGTAGTTCTTGATAACTGGCTATTTGGTGATTAAGAACTTGTAGAGCCATCTAGGTGTAAATACAATAAATAAACGTGTATCAAAGTGGGTATGGCATCTATTCATGCCAACCGCGGCGAATGGGTTAACACAATATGCACAACTTACTGTTTATACAAAAAAAAAGTAAAAAAACAATTAAAACAACTTATACTTTAACAACTGTTAATCATACAACAGTAAAATTTCAAACTTACAACTGGTTTTCCTTCCACTAGTGTTTCCTTAGCAACTGGACTTGCCCATACGGGTCTTAGGATTCTTGCTAGGTATAAGTAGAGGGCATTATGCAGAGGTGAAAACTGAGCATCCTGAACAATAGCTGTGTTTGTAGCCTGACCAGGCATGGGTGTTGATACTTGCGTTGGATGAAAATCTGTAAAAAGAGAGATTGAGAGGAAGAATAAATACATGGAAAGTGGATAAGCTATGCATGTTATCCAGTTAGCATTCATGCAGATTCATGTTACCATTACTTACTGTAGCCTGCTGGTGTTTGAGGAGTAAAAGTTACCGGAGCAGGGGGAGGATTGGCACCATATAAAAATAAGGCACGAGTTGCCCATTCTGCCACCTGTAAACACACATTTCATCAAAACACTGAAGAGGGCTGTAATTTGAAGAATACAAACTAGGGATTTAAGTCACTTGTACAACCGATATTGGTTTATTTCTAATTCTAAGTTAAAGAGCAGTATTAGCTTATCATGTACATATATATTTTCCCATTTCCAATTCACCCTATAAATCTATGCATAGTGTATACACAAAAGGGTACTATAGGAATATAACCTTACAGCATTCATTTTCCTTCTGATAAATGTCTAATTCATGGCCATCAACAAAAAGAGAAGAGGAGAGAAGTATTTCTGACTTGTTACTATAAAGGATCACTGTAGAAAGGCTTTTAAAAACTGCACTGCAAATTAAAGGTTAACAAGACATATCTCTTCATACAAACCTGAGCATTTGGACGATGAGGATCAGTAGCGATAATGAGCGCAGTGGCACATGCTTGTGTAGGTGTCATTGCTGAAAAGAATTCTTTGACCATGTTGGACTCTGCTCCTCCCGACTCTTCTAGCATCTGCCGCAACTGGTCCACAGGTCTTAAGAATGTGAGGACATGTGCACCTGTGGCAGAAAGTAAGACCAACTGGCGAGGAGACTGCTGGTGCTGGGTTACCAGAAGAGGTGGTTTCGTCCCCTGCAAAATATTTGAGAGTGTTAGGTTTTACATCCCACCATATAAACAATAGCAGAAATTAAGAAAATTAACTTCTCTGGTAAAAGACACACAAAAGTGAAAAGTTAACATCCTGTATACCAGACACGAATATAACCGTTTTTTAGATAAAGAATTAAGCCAAAAATTAAACCGATTCTATTATTTTCCCTGGTAAACACCACCAAATTATATTTTGCAGAAAAGTTGATAATCTAGCATGATATGCCATTTCAGTTGCCTTTTCATTAGTTATAATAGTAAAATTTAAACAATGAATATTAACCTATATCATCAATACATTTATCTAAATTATTTTCCTTAACACAACTTATATATCGTAATTTATCCTTACCATTTAGCATTACCCCAGTGAAGCAATGCATTCCCACTTGTTTATCACTAACCATACCACTTCCACTTCTAAATGAGAATCCACACACATCTACTGACCTGGGGTGTTGTTGGGTTGAGGGCTGAGCACCAAAGCTGGGGAGTCACATCTGCCAAAGCCCACACAAATCCATCAACAGCATGAGTACTCTGTGATTCTGCTAAAGTTGGATGGTATGGGTACTGATCACTACTCATTGTCCACACAGTGTCTGCCTCATTACTCTCATTGGAACACAAAACACCAGTGCCTGTAAACAGAAGGAGAATAAATACATATCCAATTGTTCAAATCAATAAAATCTCATAGTCATACAACATACACAAAAGAACGGGCAAAAAGATCACTACTAGTTAAACTTTCACATGGCATCATAAGTCCATGCCACCTGCAAGAGATCTTTTGAATCAACACACCATGTGAATAGAGTGCCTTGTGCACTTTGGTTGGTCGGTAAACAGTAGCATTTGCTGCAAAGCCAGGCGGAAGTCGCACGTGGAGGAGTGTCAGCTGGGATGGTCTCTGAGTGAGTCCTCCAACCAGAGGCATTGTCGTATAATATAATCTCACACCGGTACCTGTAAGTATCAAATGTCTACTTAACAAAGCTTCAGTCTGATTTCTAAAATTAAAAACAATTATTCAATAACCAAATAAAATAAATAAATACAAGCATGCAATTCAACAATAAAATGAACCAACCTGTGACTACTACCAAGTGAATGTGTGGCGATTCACTTGTACTGATTGGACAGAGGCTAACAACATTCTTAAAGTTTGATTTGTCAACAGTTCTGTAAAATAAAAGGAGGAAGAATTACTAAAAAACAAAACGAAACATTCAGTATCGTAAATTTACAATGAATATACAAAATAAAACTTAAGGTTAAAAGAAGCAGTGATAATGATAACTGATACAAGATAATCATTTGATTAATTATCACATAGATAAGTCAAACAGTTCTAACTAATTTACGTCAATCACATATAAACTATTCTTCCCGTCTGCATCCAAATCATACACCGTAATGGTTCCCTTTTCACTCAAGGTGTACAGAATGTGTCGGCTGTCATCTACTTCCACCTGAGGTAGAAATTCAAAACAGTTATAGAGTTTCCATACTCAAAAATTTATAAATTCATTAACAAAATATTAGTAAATCAATAACAGTAATAATAAGTGTACAGAATGTGTCGGCTGTCATCTACTTCCACCTGAGGTAGAAATTCAAAACAGTTATAGAGTTTCCATACTCAAAAATGTATAAATTCATTAACAAAATATTAGTAACTCAATAACAGTAATAATAATAAAAAAAAACATTGATTCTCAATATTACCTGATTAATTGGATCATCCTCGGAGAAGGCAAGGAAGGGTAGCAGGTAGGATATTGTTGATCTTGAGTGATTTACTTTCTGGCACTTTCGACTGAACCAGCCATCTTCTGCCTGGAAAGGATATTAGGATCTTGAATTTTCAAGTTTATGCATTAGTAACATATACTGATAATGATAACTGGAAAGATAATGGTACTGGAATTATTCAAGCCAAATACTGTACAATACACAATTTAAATGCATTCCAAAATCAAACCCTTTCAACATAGAACCACTGAGGAAACTTACCTGATAGACTAATTCATAGAGGCAACCATCTTTGGCTCCCATGAAAATTCTGCCATCATTAGTGCCCTTAATAGTAAGAATGTAGGAGCCATCAGTGGGAACAGAAAACAGAGGCTCTGGCAACAGATGCATCCCCGAGTTGCCTTCTTCTGTGGGGTGTGTGTGTGTGGGGGGGGGGAGGAATCATAAAATAAATATTGAAAAAGCATAAAAGAGCAATAAATACAGATTACAAATATCCTTTAACAAACAATAGGTTTGAGAAGAATGGCATTATGGGGGAGGAATAATAATAATAATAATACATATATATATATATATATATATATATATATATATATATATATATATATATATATATATATATATATATATATATATATATATATAAGTATATAAATTAAATTATAAAAGATCTGACCATCTACTAATAGCTGTTTGTGCAAATACACACATCTCCATGCATTAATTACACAAACAATATATCAGAACATTTATAAATCTACATCAATATCTATATCTTCACATATATGCAAGTCTATAAAGAAAAGGGATGCATACCATCTGCTGTCTGTGAGAATGATACCCCTAATAACACAATCTCGGAAGTGGTTGTGAGGCACAGGAGATACTCAATGTATTTTTTGAAAACTCCGGCTTTTGGTTTGACGAGGCCCACGCTCAGGATGGTTTCATGAAGGCCATCAAAGTATGCTAAGTCTCTCCTGTAAAACAAAATATAATAATAATAATATATAACTGTAAAAAGTTAATACTGTGACTTTCTTTAGATGCACAGATCTTAAATAATACAGATGCTCAAATGTATTCACTCTTACTGACTCAGTAATCAAATGTATATATAAATATACATACAAATGCAAATTTATACATCTTGATTACAATCTAAGAAGTCTATACTGTAATAAAGGAGAGTAAGATATATCACAGATTCATTCACAAATTCTATTTTGAATATCACTAAAAAGATAGGCCTATGAAATGCATTGTAAGAGTAAAGAAAAACTTGGAAATTTATTTTTAAGAATCACTTACCCATCCTCATACACCCAAACATAAATGTCACTGTCAATAGTCAGCCAGGCTCGATTAATCTCGGGGAAGAGGCCCATCATGCAATTGCATTGCATATCTGTCTTTCAGTTAAGGAATCTTCCCTTTACACTTTGTATTAAGTAATAACATTTTATATCAACTGAAAAACTACATGTTAATTATCTAAAGGCTTATTATCAATAAAAAGGGATAAAAAAAAAAAAAAAATCAATAAAACTATAAAAAAGTTAGTTAGTAGTCCAAAGATTTTTCATTAAAAAAAAATTCTAAGCTTTGCTTTTAAAGAATTATAATTTTTCTTTACGGATATACTTTTAAAATATCCATAGCCAAGTGCTGATAAATGAACACATGTACACATGTACACAAATGGTATCACTTCAATGGCAGCCAAGGGTAATCCTCACCATCACTTCAAATCAATGGCAGGAAAGAAAGAAAGAAAATCTCTATTCAACCAGATATGCCCTACAATGATGGCACCTGGTGTCTCACCATCAAGTAATGATAAATAAGGCCTAAGGTTTAATATAAAAATAAATAAAGTTAAATAAAGTACACAAAAATATACATTTCTTATAACACAAAATTCTAAAAGTAAGAAGCCTTTTTATATTTTCGTCAAGAACATAAATTTAGATCTACCACAAAGCATACATACAAGTATATATGTATATGTACTTTTGATCAGACTTTATAACCTAATTAAAGGTAGCTGCGTAATCTCTCATCTCAGATATCACATCAACAGTATCAAACACAAAAACAAAGACTTAATATTTCAACAAACGGCTGACTAAGAAAAGGATACGTTGGAAATGGTGCATCAGCTCTGACGGCAGAGGGACCTTGCGGGTAAAGCTGAGGTGCCTTATGGACCTCGGGTCACCACTGTTCGGGTAGTCACTCTCACTCAGCCCACTCACGGTTGCACTTCCTGCCAAAATGACACCATATAAGAAAAGGAAAAATGAAACATACAAGTCAATCAATATCAATCACTTTCTGAGAGAAGACATACCTTGTGGAGAGACTCTGAGCATATCCAAAAGGGAGGGAAAACTGGAATCATAGTTGAGGTGCTTGTCAACTAATCTCCCGGCTATTTCCAAGTCCTGCAGAACGCCGTCACCCCCGCCCTCCCCTCCCCCAAAACTGAGGGTTGTGCTGAGCGTGTTCTGCTGCATCTGTCGAAAGAAAAAATATCAGTACATATGCTACATTTCTATTCATTTCCTTGTCCTTTCTCATTTGTTCAAACATGCATCCCTGATCCTAAAACATAGGGAGGAAAGGATGCGTAAATATGCATTCTCACTCTCACTCACTCACATATACAACACAGATACAGAATAGACAATGTATGGATATGTTCCTCAATCTAATGATCCTAAACCCAGGAAGACTGCCATATACTGTAAATTATAAAGTAAAAAGTAACAGAGGTTATATAATTTAATTTTAATAATTATATGATATTTAGCATGGTATATGATTTTCAACAGGAATACCAAGTGACACCAAGAAGAACATTTGTGTAGTGCCCTGGGAATTTGCCTTCAAATGTGGAGTCAAGGGGAGATTCATTTTAAGAGGATAACAATGGTTGATTATTACTTCAAGACCTACATAAGCAAAAACAGTTTATGCAGGCATGCCACGATGCAAAGTGAGGTAAGGCTGGAATAAGTCTCCACACAGGATTTGTCACAAACCATTTTCTTCATTTCTAAAGTTATTCTTTGCCTGCTCTGGATCTAGCTTTTTATCACTTTATGAATGTCACAATCATAATGTGAGCATATACCAGTTTTGATTAATCTTTATGGTATGGATGCCCCAAGCTAGGACAAATTGAATTAATAGTATTCCTGTAGAAGGCACAGGCTATCAGTACAAGAAATAATTTGCAGAAATGAATGGTAACACCACAAGTGAAAAAGGTCGCAGAAAGTGTTGCTCAATGCCTAAGTCCACTTGGGTTCTTGAGTTTCAGCTCTATCGCATACTGAGGTGAAGACAATGTTTGCTGGGAGGGAGTTGGGGGATTTAGCACCCCATCAACCCTCCCCTTGAGCAAGCCCAGTCACGGCAACTTAGATTGTTAACTTTTGTAGTGTGATTAACATGGTATATTAGTTTGCCTTATTCTGGACTACTACTTGATTAACACTAATGCATTCATGATAGGTAATGTCCCATCCCACCATGGCAAAAAATTCACTGACAACAGGTGTCAATCATGTCAGGTGACTAATTACTAGCTATTAGAATGAAACCTGTGGAGCCCAGACAAGCAAGAGATACACTATTGCACTCTTGCCTTACCAAACTTTAACCAAAAATTGATGTGTTGTAAATGGATTCGTAGAGTAGCATTGTGCATTGTTAGTGACCTTTATACTCCCTTTCTCCCCTACCTTCAGGCAGTCCTCTTCTAGATAATCATTATTTGTTACCGAGAGCAACGCACCCCCCAGATATGAAGTCCTAAATCCAGGGTATCATGTGAACCCAAAATCTAGATGTTATCTTATCTTAGGTAAGCTCCTGTACCCATATTTATTAATATTTTGTGCCTATTAAAAACACACACATCCACACACATCAAGAACTCTGGGTGTGTGTGTTGTGGAATTAGAGCGTGACATGCAGCGGATATTTTTGTCCCTTTGAGGTAAATGTGAGGCCAGAGCAGCTATACCTGTGCTGTTTGATCCCCTATTCTTTATTCTCTATAAAATGGCAGTGTCCATTTTCCTCTCTCTCTCTCTCTCCCTTTCGGTAGCCTTAACCGGATAATCATGCCAGTCACCCGGACGAGATAGTCACTGCCTCGTCTTGCATCTCGGTCCCTTTGGTTGACAAATGCATCTTGCAAAGTTGCTATCCTTGCTCAGCCTCTGCCTTCGACGACAAACGGCCCCCCACTCCTCAATACATCAACAGTGACCTGCCGCGCCGTCATTCGAGCGGAATAAAGCCCGTAAACTGACTAAATAAAATAAGAGACGGGATACGCCTTGGCCCTCCTGACGAAACGTGTCGAGGGGCAAGTTATCGGACACAAAACACGTAATTATCTCAATTCCAAAAGCTCATGGAGGGTTTTAAGAGCACAAGACGTGACGCTGGTTCTAGCAAAAGGCCGAGGGACGCGAATTACGTACATTTCGAGGAGGATTTCGCCCTTCGTGGTGAAACAAGTATGGGCCGAGGATAATCTGTCAGGCACTTTGTTGTCGGATTTCCCTTCAAATACGCGAATTGAGAGCCGATCCTTTGCTACGTTCCCCTTCCTACTATTCGAGTGCAACTAGAATGCAACATGGGAGTATTGCAAGAGCAAACAAGGTCACAATTTCAAAATATTTGAAAAATAAAATCAAACGCTTTACCTTCCCTCCTGCCGCTCTACGATGACCGCGTCCGAACTGCTTCCCTTGGCTTTAGCTTCGTAAGGAACCTCTACTATCTCTGCTTCTTTAATAATGCTTACTGTTTTAGCTGTTTATATAAATATTTTAAACTTTCTTGTTTGATTATTTCGATTCTGTGGAATATCTTTTGTTATTTCTCTTTGGTAAAGGTGGTGAAAATATGTGAGTAATGCGAGCCCTTTCGAACGTCGGAGAAGGAAATACCGTTGATACAGAAACAAGCAAATGATTTTCTTTATAGACGTACAAAGCTGCACCAAAATTAGCAGCACTGAAACCTCAAATTATAAGGACGTATATTTGTGTGTATTTTAATCCTTGCAGCCTTTTTTTAATGGAAAGAAAAGGTTTTTGAAATATCATTCAGAAAACAGGTAAAAAAAACAGATACGCATCGGATAAAAAGGGACGGGATTGAATCTAATACTACTACCCTCCACGGGAATACCCCCCTGGATTAATATCACCCAACAAAATTACAAAACCCCCCATCGCAAACAAAATAACACAACCTAATATCACCAACAGTAACTCATTTCCAAACCCAGAATCCTAGATACCTAACCGAAAAACCTCGTCCTCCCACCCAGCCCCAATCGCATTCAAGAACCGGTTTGGTCGCGGGAGCAATATTTATTCCAATCGTCTATACTCCAATGTCGACGTCTTCTGCGAGCGACGGATTCTTCTCCAGACGCGATAATTTCTCACAAAATCATCTCAGGAGGCCGATGGAGGGCGTGATTCTCAGCTAGACGAGAAGAGGTAATAAAAAGAGGGATTCAGGAATGAGAAGAGAGATTTGGGGTGTTTTTCAGAGGCTTAGGGGTGGAAATAGGAGGGGTTTGAGGAGGTGGATGGGTGTTTGTGTGTGTGATTGTGGGGGGGGGGGGGGGATGTGTCATTTTCATGTTTGTTTTTTTCATTGTTTTTTTCTTCATATATTTGTTGATTTTGTTTATTTGCGGGTTTCGGGCTCATTTCCCAGTGGTTTTGATGGGTTTTGAAGTGGTGAGATGTGTCCGACTTAGTGTACTTAGTATTATAAGGGACGTCTATTCAGAGTACGTCTGGAAACCAACATATTTTTACTCGTATGTCAATGACAGTTTGTTTTATCCGTATTTGTTTATTTTATTTGTTTTTGTCGTCGGTGATTTGTTTACGAGCCTTCATTTGTTTTGTTCATAGGGCTGATGGGCTTTGTTGGGTTTTTGTCTGTTATTTTTCATGACCATGATTTTTGTTTTTGGTATTTTCTTATGAAGGTTTTCTCTTTTTTTTATTTAAAGTCAAATTATGGACTGATTTACACTCATACACACACACTCTCTCTCTCTCTCTCTCTCTCTCTCTCTCTCTCTCTCTCTCTCTCTCTCTCTCTCTCTCTCTCTCTCTCTCTCTCTCTCTCACACACACACACACACACACACACACACACACACACACACACACACACACACACACACACACACACACACACACACACACACATATATGTATGTTTTTTGTAGTTACCTGACAAACAACTTGAAACTGTGCAATTTGTGACAACATAATTATTACCTTTATCATTATCATCATTTACTATGATATTCTTTCTCTTTACTGTTACTTTTGTTTTTTGTTGTTGTTGCTGCCGCCATACATAGGCCTATTTAAATATATTAACCATTCACATTAATAAGGTTATCACAGTTTCCTCTAGTTTCTACAGTCTGACATAAATATCGGGTGCAATTTTGCAAGCACCAGAAATTACCATGTATTGATAAGATGAAAACTGCTCAGAAATCACCCAATGTCTACAAGAATCAAACAAACATCCAGTAGAGTTGATGTCACCTATAAGGGTCCTCAAAATTACCATTCTTGAATATACTTAAAGGCTCGTGACACATTTGATTAACTCATTCATCTTGGGGTGATGAGCCTTAATCCTGGCAGCTGATATGATGCTGTGAGTCAGACAACAGCTCTTACATGGAGTGGCTTGCTTTTTTGCACCCTAGCCTCTCCAAAGTCCATTCAGAATCAACTTTATCTATATTATGAAAGGAAGATGTATATATGTGTAAGGCTTAATAACAGAGCTGCGTCATCTATAGAAGCCATAGATTTAAAAGAGTAATATTCAGTTTGATTAACTATGATTATCAAGAAAGAGAAGCCATGTGTATGCTGAGAGATTGTGATAAAGTTTATGATGTGTGTATAAGCATTGTTGACTTTGCTTTTCATTTCCTAGTATTACTTTTCCTGTTTGAGGATGATAGTTAAGGAAAACATATAATTTATATGGATGGATGGACGGATGGATGGATAGATCTTGTTGGGAATATTTATATTCAGTCACATGTCTCTTCATATTCAAGATAATCTCTGAAATAGGCTTCTATACAAATTGGACAATATGTGACCTCTTATATTGTTCTACAGTAGCTATGTAGAATACTTCATAATATTTTTGGAAGAAAATGTTTCTTCATATGACTAATAAGTAAATTACTTTTAGGTGATGAATGATTTTTCATAGAGTTTACTCACTTCTGAATATGCAACAGAAATGTTTTCAAATTAGATATGTTGGAAATAGATTAGGAAATGCATTCTGTTATCTGTATTTCTGGCAATAATTCATTATGAATAAGAAAATTGCGCTTGCAGGATCGCAGTTACCAACAGTTGTTAAAGCTATCCTTTTCAAAAGTTCTCAGATTGAATTTATTATTTGTTATATGCCAGCTAAACCAGTAGTTGCTTGAACATATACTATACCCTGTGCCTGTGTGTGTGCATGCATTATATGTTTTTTTTTTTTTTCCCCCAAAAGTGCAATACTTCAGAATTCACTTAACTTGTATTTATCCAAAAATAGTTATAAAAATCATTTAATTATTCAAGGTTTTCAAATATAGTGTTGCACGTGGGAGTGAGAAGTGTGTCCTTCCATTATATTTTTTGTGTATGTGTGTTTATATATCCAGCTTTGTGCTCTCTTTCAGACAGGGTAGAGAGGTAGCATGGCATCCAGTTCAGTTAGTCAGGAAGATGTTGAGGTAGACTTTGAGACCTCATCTCGGCGATCTCGCATACGGACAGCAAGGGCTCGGAATATCAACCCAACATCGCGCCCAGGTACAGGTACTCTCATCTAACTTTCATGTTTTCTATTTCTAAAACATGTATAAATTGTTCTTAGACCAATATATGCATAGTCTGAGAACACCTTTGGGTGTGTATACCCTCTTTTTTGTGTAAGCTAAGCTGGAAGAGAAAGCAAAATAATCATTATTCAGGCAGTGTTTATTTTTAGGTCTCACTTAAGATGAAACCATTAAGGTTATCTTGAGCTTATCTTATTATTAGCATGTGTTTCAGTGTTTATCTGTATAGAGACAGAAGAAAAAAAATACCAAGGTGTTCTTAGCTTGCCTCTTATCTGTAGATAACATGAATCATTATCATTTGCTGCATTTTGAAAGATAACCCCTTTGTCTCCAGTCTTTGTTAGGCCATGGAACCTCTTGAAAGTGTTTGTAGGTTGTCTGAGTTTTATTTGGATATTTAAGCATTAAGTCATCAGGTTGATATATTTTGTCATATGGTTGTAATATTACATAGAAATGTACACAAATCTAGTCATAATACTGTTGTTTATATACCTGATATGACAAGATGATCATTCAAGGTAGAACAGATGTCATGCCAAGGAATTTTGTGTTTTTCTAAAAGGTGAAGCGGATGAGGAAGGAGAGGGAAGTGACCGAGATGTTGGAACAGGAGGTGGGCTTTATCCGGGGGCTCCTGATCACGATGCCAGTCCAAAGCCCGCCACGAGACTCAAGGAGAAAAGGATGAACAGGTTAGTGGTACTTGTGTATTGTTAAGGAGGAATGCATAGTTTAATCACTTTATTCTCTGCTATCTTTGCCCCTCGTACCTAGGAATTGATTTTATATGGATTGTTTCAAAATTGGTTTCTTTCCTGTGGCAGACCCAATCACACAAACAAGGGGAAACAACAGCGTGACAGGCGAAAGCTGCGTGAGAAAAGACGTAGTACTGGGGTAGTCCATCTGCCATCTACAGAGGTAAGTATGCAAAGAGATACATGTTGGCAACTCAGAAAATTAAGTTACATCTCTGTTATTGTCTTCAATAACCTGTCTATAAAAGATTGCCATTTTGTTTCAGTTATTTCAAAGAATGAACTTAAAAAAACAGTTTTTGGGATATTTTTAGGGAATAGTACTTGGTAAGTGAAAAATGAAGAGGTGGTGTCTTTTTTTTTATTATTGTTATTATAAGGTAACACTAAATGATAAGTAATTAAGTAGTGATAATGAAAGATTTCAATACTTTGGCTTCAAGAAACTGAAATGCAACAACAGTAATAGGAGAAACATTAAAGCATTCAGGTTCAGTCATCCTACTGTTTAACATTAGTTACAGTGGAGATTAATCTATTCTGACTCAGACCATTGCTGTGTAGTCTTTCCCTTGTTACTTGGCTGTTCCCTACTTGTCTTTGTGCTCAGAATGAGGTTGTATAAGAATAAAATAGGTTGTTTAGCTATATTTCATTTATTGGGAGAAGGTGTGTAGTATGCATTGTTTATCTTTTAACAAGGTATACATTTATACATTAGAGGCACCATAAAATTGATCTACTGCTCTACTTCTTATGTTACAATTGTCGCTTTTGATAGTTTGAGTGAGGATTATTAATAGACAGTGTTTCTGTAACATGCAAGTATATGAATGTTAGTATCGTATTAATTTTTCTTTCTCAGAATTTTTTTTTTTTTTACAGCGACTCTCTTGTGAAGAAAATATATTTGTCACAACTGTATTACTCCATAAAATACCTTTTTTGCACTTCCTTCGCCATTCTTAAGTCTATTGAAAGGCAGTTAAAGTCAGGATACCTCGGCATCTTTGTCACAAGTCTTTATGTATGAAATAGTTGTATAATTCCAAATTATATTTTTTCAGTCATAGGTATTTTACAGAGTTAAAGCATATAATAGAGATGCAAGTGCAATGAGGTTGAACTTCTTTTATAATTGCCATTTGGATTTATCACTTTGCACAAAATCTTTATTCTCAACAAAAGAGTGAAAAAAATCACAAGCAGTTATAGATACGGTTCTCCCCTCTAATCCTGTAATAAAGTATCAGAATATCAAAAAGTACATTTGGCCCTTGTCTGTTTATGAATGTAAGCATCACAGCTCAAGAAGCACTTAACGCAGGCTTCCTGTTTTGGAATGGCATCTTAAGTTTGATGTCAAGTGTGGCTCAAGAGAGCTCAGCTTAGAACAAAGACTAATTTACTTGGAATTTGATGGAACAGAAAAGGAAGTTATGATAGTGATACATTGGTTGTATATATATGTGTGTGTATACATACATATTTGAATATATATTTAGATATACATACATACATACATATATGTATATATATTTATGTATGAATATATGTATGTATATATATATGTTTATATTTATGTGTATATATGTATATATTTTTATGTATGTTTATATGTTTATATATTTTATATTTGTATATGCATATATACATGTATACATATATATATATATGTATAAGTATATATACATATATGTATAAGTATGTATACATATATGTATAAGTATATATACATGTAGGTATATAATGTATATATATGTATTTATAATGTATATGTATACATGTGTATGTATATATATGTGTGTATATATATGTATTTATAATGTATATGTATACATGTGTATGTATATATATGTGTATATACATGTATATATATGTGTGTGTATACATGTATATATATATGTATTTATAATGTATATGTATACATGTGTATGTATATATATATGTGTGTATATACATGTATATATATGTGTGTATACATGTATATATGCTTATATGTGTATATATGTATATGTATGTGTATATATGTATATGTGTATATATGTATATGTGTATATATGTATATGTGTATATATGTATATGTATTCATATATGTACATATGTACATATGTATATATGTATATATGTACATATATATTATATATTATATATTATATATTACATATTACATATATATTATATATTATATATTACATATTACATATTACATATTACATATTACATATTACATATTACATATATATTATATATTACTATATATTATATATTATATATATTATATATATTATATATATTATATATATTATATATATTATATATGGTATATATATGGTATATATATGATATATATATGATATACATGATATATACATGATATATACATGATATATACATGATATATACATGATATATACATGATATATACATGATATATACATGATATATACATGATATATACATGATATATATATTATATATATATATATATATATATATATATATATATATATATATATATATATATATATATATATATATATATATATATTCTATGTGTATATACATGTAATGTGTGTGTGCATATATATATATGTACATATAAGTATACATGTGTATACACAAATATATATATATATGTATATATTTATATTATATATATATATATATATATATATATATATATATATATATATATATATATATATATATATATATATATATATATAATGTTTGTATATATATATGTGCATTTTATATATATTAAGTAGATAGATAGATGTATATATATAAATAAAATGTTATACACATGTACACATAGATTTATGAATATGGTTGTGTGTGCTTGTTTGTTTGTTTTAAATGCATATTGTGTATATGATGTCTCTTCTGTCTTAAATAAAGTTTGGAGTAGCATAATATATACTTTTTAGGTAAAATGACTATAATGTAGCATATTAAAAAAAACTGAAATGTTTGCAGAAGCCTAGATGTTGTAAGCCTTCCATTTCTGGAGTGGGTAGTTGTTAGGTCTCTTGACCTACAGGGAATCCTCAGTCCTATGTAGGCTTTGTTTTACTACTAGAGAAGGGATTTACCTTTGCACATGCATCCTTTTTTCATTTAGATTTTCTCTTTGTTCATCTAACTATCAGGTTTCTTTGGATGTGGGTATAGATATATTTGTAGGGATGGTTGGCAGGCTGACATAAAGATACAAGTACACTTCTGTATATGCTTCAAAATAAGTTTTGCTCTTATCAAAATCAGAAAGAGATGATAGATGCAAATCAGTTTATATTGTCTGAAGTGAATTGTTATTTTACTTTATGAGAATGTGAAGTAGGTATATCTGAGGCAGTAATGAGTTTGACGAGAATGATACCTTTGTTTGTATTAATGTCT